TGAGTGAAGGCATAAGCCAGTACAGATGGAAGGTCCCACTTTTCAAAACCATATTTTGGCCACCTGGCCAACTCTATACTCAGAGCTTCTTACCTTCAGGTAGAATTTTCTTGTTTTAAAAAAAGGCCTCTGTCTTCCCTGGCAGGTAGAAAACCTGGCTTAGAGTGGTAGGCAGTAAACCCACCCTCTCTTTCTCTGACTGGCTGGAGAGGCCTTTCTGACAGAAATGTATTTTCTGTCCTCAGTTGGTATATTCTCCCTGTGCTTGCGTGGGTTTCCTCCAGGTACTCTGGTTGCCTCCCACACTCCAAAAGACATGCTGGTAGGTTAATTGGCTCCTGTATAAATTGGCCCTTGTATTTATGTATGCATGTGAGATGGAGACCTTGGATTGTAAGCTCCTTAAGGGCAGGGACTGATGAATATGTAAAGCGGTGCATAAATGGCCGGCACTACATAAATATCAGAAATTAATAAAATAAATAAAACAAATTCCAGAACTGGAGTTCTTAAGTGTCCACCATCCCACGTCTACACTTTTTCCTGAGAAATCTGCGGCGGTTTTTCACAGTACCTGTAAACATGAGATGACCGTCAACCCACTCTGCAGTTTTTAGCAGGATTGAAAGATAAACTCTTGTCTGCAAATGCCTGTGAATTCTGCTAGCCAGTTGCCATTGGGCAATGATGAGCATTCATCCATTGCTATCCTCCCCCCTAATAATTAAGTGCCTACAGCATTCTATCTTAAGCTCCCCACTCCTCCTCTTTCTCCATTCCCATATACCTGTAAGGTTTGCTGAGGTGACCTACATACGTTTGAAGCACACTGAAGATTTTCGGCATTTCCAAATACAACCTCCTTTAAATTGATTACTGGACTTTGGTTTGACTCTTTATAATTTTATCACCTATGGACATTTTAAAACTTTTGGTGACATCAGTGGAAATATCTGGCTCATCCTGTTGATGTAGCAGCTCTCCACCACCCACTTTCTTAATATGCAAACCTGCGCATACATCTCTAGAGAGGAAAACAGCACTTTTGCCCTTCCCCGAGTTTTGCACCAAAACTGGGATCATATTTACCTGAAAAGCTAAAAAATTCAAGATGTTTGTGATAATAGAGTAAATGGGGTATCCCAGGAAAAAGGTAGAGCAGTGTATGGTCAGTGGTGAGTTCCTAGTGAAGAAATGGTTAGAGGCAACCTACAGTAAAATTATTGAATGACAAAGGTCCCTAAATCTCCTTACATGGTTAGTAGGCAGAAGGGGTCCATTATTGGGTCAAGTGGGGAAGCTAGTCATTCTGCCACCCGGGGCAAAGGCTCAGAGTTCCTCCCCCCAAGGGAGAAGTTCTCAATTCACACATTCAGTGGCACCCCTCCTAACGCAGCATCCGAATTGAACATATTTGAATTGGTTTCTGAGAAATGTTTATGGTATTTTACTGAATCAGAAATTAAATCTATATCCTATTTTTCTCTTTGAGTATGACAATACCACCGTATTATACAGTGTGCATGTCCTCTGGAAATTTCAAATACAAAAATATAATTAAATGACGTTGTTTTCCTTTTATCACAATAATACAAACTGTGCAGAGCTGTCATCAAATCCCAGGGCCTGCTGATTAAAAGTAGGATATGTCCTTGTGGTCATGCATATTTCGATGGCGTTAGTGGAAAGCAAGATGTTTTGGATGACATTATAAGGTTATCATACTGAGAGCTGACAGTTTTAATATATTTTGGAAAGAAAAAACTGTTTCCATAAATTTCAGGCATCAATAAACCATTGCTTGTGAAATATGTGTATGATAGATATAAGGCAACCAGACTTTGATGCATCTGAAGGTTATAAGATTTAATATAGTTGCAATATGATAGAAATCAACCCTCTTTATGAATAATGTTTCTTTACAATTTAAATAAAGCGATTAGGCATCACATACAGACATAACCTACCTTGTGCATGTAAAAAATATATCTAAATAACAAGAATGTATTATATTGCATTGCTAGTCCTTAGTTGAGGTGGCTGCTTTTGCTTTCTTATTTTTATTCTAAATATAATTTCTGTAGGTACACAAAATTGCTACTGATTCTATCAAATTTTCAGTGCCCTTGTAACTTTATGTGCACCGAATTGAAATCTCAAACAATGTTATCAGCCTTCCCAGCTATCTTCTGTTAGCTACAAAACACCTCATCCTATGTAATGGAGATGAGAAGAGAGGGAGGGATGTATTGCTCTGAGATGATCAGTCCAGGCTCTTGCTTAACCCCCTCCACGCACCCCCCTCCGCTGTGGGAAGGGAAGCATTCCTGGAGAGCCTCAGACACCCAAGTAGTACAACTGGTAGCTGCCATCCCCGAACACCTCAACATGAACTGTGCCCAGCAAGTTATATATCCCCGCCCCCCCCTCTTCCCTGGCACTTCGCTCGGTGTGAGACTTTTGCTTGACAAGATCTGAAGTGCAGGCAATCCCTCCACCTGTCACCGCTGCTTTATAGTGACAGTTCCTCAGCTCACTGCCTATAAGTGGCTCATGATGTGACCCGGGGAATGTTGCATTGTAGGGGGAAAGTTGGGGCCCCCATGCTGACCTGATACCAGCACCCCTGACAGACCAAGGACCAATCAGGGGACTGCTGTGTTAAAGCAGTGATGGTGGGTGAGTCTGGTGGGCCTGGGGGACACGTTCTGGCTTTCGGGAGGCTGGAAGTGCATGAAAGAACAGCTGGGGGGGGGGGGGGGAATCAGTGATGGGCCCCCTCCTGGGTGCGGGCCTCAGGCATTGCCAGAGTGCCCGAATGATCAGTCTGCCCCTGGTAATGCTTAACGTCCAGTGAGCAACCTAGAAAGCAGAGCTATAGTGTCTAAGTAGGTATCACCTTCTGGCTATATAACATATAACAAAAGTGTGGATGAATAGAAGGCAAGGATGTTTACCCTTAAATCTATTTACATACTGTAAGTGTAGTTCAACTGTGAAGTAATGCTTTGTATTACCTTACCTTAAAGCAAACCTGTGTCCTTATTACTTATGTTGAACTAGCTTCTTAAGTGTAGAGCATGGACCATCAAGTGCTTACATAATTGGGTAAATGTTTTTCTGTAGTGTCCCAGGAGCCCCAAAACCCAGAGTCCTCTGTTGACCTGTGCTTGTTTTCTGATGTTCTGGTCTGTTTCCCAGACCACTAAAAATTAGTTGGGCTGATTCACTGGCATCAGTTTGCGTCAACTTTAGAAGTGGGATATACCAACTCAACTTCAACTTATTTTATCTTTCTTTAAAAAGATAAAGCACCATGTGGTCACCTGAAAAGTGTTAAAGGAGAATTAACGGATGAGTGAAATGAACTCATCCCAATAGTTAGAGCTGACATATGACACTGCAGCTCTCACATGATTGAGAACTGAGGGATCACATACCGCTGATCACTCAGTTCACAATCTTTTCCCTGCAGAGAGCGGTGACTATCAGTCACCGCTCCCCGCAGGGATTTCCCCCTCCCCTCTCTCTCTCTGTTCCTCCAGCCTGCCTCTAGAGAGGCAGAGGCAGCTGTCAATCAGGTAGCGGGGTGGATCCTAACAATATTGTCGGGATCTGTCCCGGCTGCAGTGCGGCCCTGCACTGTCAGCATATAGTTGGTAATTGTCTGATATATGCTGAGTTTTGGGTCACAGAAGGACATTAGGAAATGTTTGGCCATAGTTCTCTTTTAAGGTTTTATCAACGTCTGCCACTTTTTCTTTAAAAGTGGCAAGCCTTCCCAGAAGAGTGGAGGATTTCATAGCCGCAAAGAGGATCCAACTCCATATTATTAGCCCACTTAATGACCCCCTAATTCTAAAGCATTGATCTCTGATTCTTTAACCAAATATACTCATTCACCTTGTGGTCACCGGCTTTACTTTTCACCTTCTCAGCTGTCATTTAAGGACTTAAGGCATTACTGTTCCTGGATCCTAAAAATCAGCAACGAGGATGGGGAGGACCCATCTGGCAGAGCTGTGTGCAAATCTGGCATCACCAGCCCAAGTCCCTACATCAGAATTAAGATGCCTGTTATGCCTGTGGCTCAATGCTGTTCTTAAAATAAGACATGGAAAATATTTACGGAAGCAACCTTTGAGTGGAGTGGTGGCAAAATAGAACCGCACTTCCTTTTTTACCTCTCCAAAGGGCCCCTTATATTTAAGATCAAATTGTTTGGAAATTATCCAGTAGGTGGAATAAAACTAATTCCACAGATCATGAAGTTTAATCAAATAAGTTTATTGGTGAATCCAGTTGTGTGATACATTTACTTGTTAGAATTACCTTTTTGGTTGCTTTCTCTGCAACATAGAAATTGGCTTTGGACTGTGAACCTCCTGGTGTCTCATATCTCGTTATACACATACCAAAAGCTGTTAAAAATGTTGCTGTCTGGGCCTGAATCCAGCATGGGGAGGCTGGCGTTGTTTTGTTACGGCACCTTGAGACAACTTGTATTATTGACTGTAAGAAGGAATGCAAAGATATGTCAAATGCTATATTTCATACAGTCAGCATAAAGGATCTGCAGGCCATACAGGATATAAATGTAGTGGGCTGTTCTAGAAATGTACTTACAAGTTGTGAGTTGCCACACTAATTGTATGGGCCACACTAATTGTACAGAGATTGTTGGACACTGTGAAAAATGGGTGTTTTAAAGCATAATGGTCTTACTGAATAGTTGTTGATTTGCTTAGCATTGTTACTCACTTATTCACTGGCAAACTTTACCATAAAAAACAGGACTTTGCTTTTAAGCATCTTCTTGTTTGTATGCTTGGATATCCAGCCAGCTCCACTTATAATGTGGCTGGGTAGTTTCTAAGGTACAGGGTTTGACCTACTGGATGGACGCTATCCGATAGAGTGTAACAGTTGTACTCTAGAAGCCAATGCTGAAATTCTTGCGATATTGTTTGACTGAACAAGTGAATTTTGTTTTCTTTTAGGACTTTGGAATCATGTTTCTTCACCATCTTGCAACAATATCTCTTATTACATTCTCCTATGTCAACAATATGGTACGAGTGGGTACCCTAGTGATGTGCCTTCATGACATGGCTGATGTTCTCTTAGAGGTGAGACCAAACCTTAAGCAAAGTTAGCTTTCCAGAACTGTGTTAACATTCAAAGTCCTAGAATTTTATGACTTGTAAAATAATGTGACTAATTAGGGAATGAGCCACAACATTAAAACTAGTGCTTTAAACTAATAAAACTTAAGGAAATCCGGGCAAAACTTTTTTTAACTTTGGGCAAAATGTTTATTAACCCTTGCAGTGGGGCTACCCCCGCATTGCATTGGTTAACTGCTCATTTTTGTCTAGGTGCTAAAAAAAAAAGTAATACTTACTCACCCGATCATTGGAACCAGCATGCTCTTAGATTGTTCCTTCCAGCCTCTCTCCCCCTCCACTGCAGTGGTCTAAGGTCCCCTAATTCATCATGTTCTACATACAGTGTAAAGATGTAAGAAATATTCCAATGCTGCAGCATAGAAAGAGATAGGCTTCAGTGACCGGAGAAGCAGGGCGAGTATAACTTTTTTTTTAGCACCTAGATAAAAATGAGCAGTTAACCACTGCAAGGGTTAATACAAGTTTTGCCCCGAGTTCTTCTTCAACTTGATAGTTTTCCATGGCTGCTCCCCATTCAAAGATGTTTCATTTTATTCCACATAGAACAATTTAATCTCAAGCCTGAAGTCAGTCAGAAAGGACCATTTTTTTTTTTTTTGTGTGTGTAAAATGGAGAGGCTCAACTGGTATTAGCAGCAGTAAATGATGCATGAGACAGGGACACCCAGGAACAGTCCAAGCAGGTTTGACAATGCATGTGAGAAAAAAAGCCAGCTGCACTCCAGAAAAATTCAGACACTGGCAACTTTACTGTTACCAGACAAACAAGCAAAGAGTCCACATCTGGGACCTCCTACTTTGGTGTGTTTCAGCCACAAAGCTGGGCATAATCGTACCTCTGCGATTGAGCCCAACTTTGTGGATGAAATACATTTGCCGAACCGAGATGGCCGCCTAACTCAGGAGCTCCTGCTCACCTGCACCCAGCATCGACCCCTGCAGCCCTCCAGATACGGTCATGGGGAAAATCGGACCGCAATATCCACCCACGAAGGCACCCACCTCTAAGGGAGACCCGCTGCCCAAAAAGGTACCGGATATCTTCCGCTCCCAGCGCCACGAGGCCTCGGAAGCGCCGGCTCCCAACATGGCGCTGTCGGCCCCCCGAACACTACAACCCCCGTCACAGGTCCCGGACGAGGCCTCCCTACACGCTTACATCCAGCACCTTCCCACCCGCTCCGACCTGTCATCCATGACGGCGGACATCAAGGAAACATTACACTTAGCAGTGTCGGAACTAAGGAAGGACATCCTGGACATAGGCCGCCGCTTACACGTGGTAGAACGAGCGAGTGCCGACAGAGATGTTGCCATTAATAACCTGCATGCCCATCAAGATATCACCTCGCAATCCCTTATCACCATGAGGAGACAGCTGGAGGATTTAGATAACAGGGGCCGCAGATCCAACATACGAATACGCGGCCTACCAGAATCCATACTGCCAGAGGCGGTCCCTACGACGCTATTGAGACTCTTCAATGATTTACTGGAGAGGCCCTTAGACTCTCCGATTGAATTTGTACGGGCACACCGAGCACTTAAACCCCGAGCCATGATGGAAGAAGCCCCACGAGACGTCATCTGCTGTCTGCAGAACTTCCCCCTGAAGGAAGAGATACTGCAAAAGGCGAGACGCAGAGGTGCCGTGTTCCTTGATGGGGTAGAGGTGAAGTTGTTTCAGGACCTCTCAGTACACACCCTACAACAAAGGAGAGCCCTTCGCCCCCTCCTAGAATGCCTTCGCCATCATGGCATCGTGTACCGCTGGCGCTTTCCCTTCTGCCTTTCCGCTACCCACAGAGGCAAGACAGCGCTCTTACGCACGCCTGAAGATCTAGCAGCATTCTGTTCAATATTGGACCTGCCTCCGGTCACCATTCAAGACTGGTATGAAGATCTGAGGCCTTCCCACGCTATTCCGCCCGAACAGGATGTCCGCCCACATCGCCAGATCTACCCACCACTGCGACAGACAGACCGTCAGGATCCTAGACGCGCCAAGAAACAACGGCCCTCACCACCCGAGTCTGGCTCCAGAGCCAACGCAACAATCTCCGGAGAAGAGGCAGACCAACTCGACCAAATCCCTTGAATTTACCGCATACTAGACCCAGGTAACGATAGCATCAGTGTACTCACCCAACAAGCAACATGCCAAGTTCCTGAGCAGATTCCTCTCCCTCCTCTCCGATTTTGCAGAAGGTATGCTGATTGTAGGAGGCGACTTTAACGCCCCTCAGACCTCGCTACCGCGTCTGATGTCTCTCTTTGACTTATATGGCTCACTATCCAACCTCAAAATAAATTATACCAAATCAGAAATCATGCCCCTCAAAGTACCCCACGAGACTAGGTCACAACTACAATCATCCTACCCCTTCCAATGGTGCCTCAACCACTTAAAGTACCTAGGCATCAAGCTGACCTCGGACTTGACCCTCCTCTACGACGCGAACTATGCGAATCTCCGGGACTCTATCCTCCAAGACCTTCGAAACTGGAGGGCACATACTTTTTCTTGGCTTGGACGTGCAGCCCTATTGAAAATGAACATACTCCCCAAACTTCTATATCTATTTCAGGCTGTTCCCTACACCTTTTGTTAACGCATATCGGTACTTGATTTATACCAACGACTGTACTCATTGTATGCCATGTTACTTGTTGAAAACTAATAAAAAGCATTTGAAACAAAAAAAAAAAAAAGAAATACATTTGCCATTGTTTGAACTTTCATTCACAACTGCCATTGTTTGAACAACCTATTTTTCTTCTTCCTAGACATGTGTCTTGAGTGATTGAGTGATCCAACCTAAGGCTTGGGAGCAGCACACTCTACATTTTCTTCTAAAGGCCAGTTCACTCCAATTGCAGTGCGTTCCAGCTGCTGGAATGTACAGTAATCGCACACAACACTCCCCCCTTCATTCAGGGTCGAGAGCGGGTGTGGCAGTGCATTGAAGTCAATGGCACCACAGCCATGTCCCCTGCCCACAATGCGATAAAAAAAACATTGCCTGCGTTGCGGTCCAGTGCGAATGCAAAAAAATGCAGCATGCAACAGTGGACATTGTATAGTAGCATAAAACAAACAACTTACTGCATCTGCTTATCCAAGCCACTACCTAAACTCAGGTCAGGTTGGGTTCTCCAAAACAAACAGGCAGCTCTTGTTCCCTCTTTTAGCAGTCAGCCTTTTCACCCAGCAGCAGGCTCTCACAGCATCGAATGAGAGAGAGCCCGCCCCTTAACAAAGCTCACATATATGAAGACGTGTGGACAGCTGGGACTATTTATTGAGGTCTGGCCACCAGGTAAGATGTGGTCTTAGGAATAGAGGCTTAATCTCATCCAAAGTTCTACAAAGACTCTGAGGCCCAGGTCAGGACTTGTTAAGGTTCTGAAAAAACTAAAAGTTGGCTTTCTCTGTATCATCAAACACAATTAGCTAGAATGATGCTAAGTGAAAACACAGTAAACAAGCCGCAATCACTTTGGCTTTCAGACATTTCTGGCACTTTCATAAATTTCTCCTTGATCCTATAATCCCACTCTGAACAAAAGTCAAACAATATCTAGGCAATGTCTCAAGGCTGGAACGTCTGCTTTAATTTTCTTCTACAAAAGCAATTTGCAAGATGGGAATAAAAAAAAATCACCAGTTGTTAATAACAGGCTTGAGCTATCAGTCAGTTTGCAGTAATGTCTGTGTTTTTTTTCCTATTCCAGGCAGCAAAAATGGCAAATTACTCCAAATGTCAAAAACTGTGTGACCTCCTATTTGTCGTGTTTGCTCTGGTGTTCATAATTGCTAGACTTGGTGTTTTCCCTTTATGGTAAGTAGTCATGACATTGAAGAAAATTACTTATGTTATGCAGTGATAATGATTTTTCGTTGGTAACCTCTCCTTTTGTGCTGATGATGACAGCATGCCATTTTAAGGCTTTTATTGGGTTGATTTGATTTCATACATTTCTTTAATCCATTGATCATGCCTTAACTCTGTTCAAAATATTTTTGCTGCAGGAAGATTTACTAAAGAATGGCACAGCTGTCACCTACTTAGCAATTAAGTCACAAACTATATTAGTGCATGGTGCTTTCATTCTTATTTGTAATATAATGTCAGTTATGTACATAAGGGTAGTGGCACCTGGGCTGTTTTTTAGATAGCACATATCCTGCTCAGGTTAATTCATCAAGCTGTTCATCTACTGAGCCTATGCTGCCTAAACTTTATTGGATTTGATTAAAAATACTTTTTTTGTTATTATTGTAGGGTTTAACTGGAAGTCATTTTTTTATTGCCACATCCTGTTAGCTTGATGTTCCTTATTTACGTTATTTCTAATATAGTACATGTTTTCTGTTGTGACTGAATTTGTCAGGGTGGTGCAGTAACTCCATCATAGTTAAAAAGCTGTATGGAGACTATACTACCTGCCAATGCATTTTATTGAAAATGTTTGCTGCCTGTCACTGGCTACAGCATTTTCTGAACAGGGAAGGACTGGGCCTGGCGGCATTTTCCCCTTTGGATCGGTGGAAAAAATAAACTGTCCCTACTATTTAAGGTTCAAAATACAAACAGAGTGTGCTCTACCTCCTTCATACAATGTGGTTCCATGGAAAACCAGTGCACAACCAAGGCTTGCACCAGTCCTTCATCATAAACAGTGGAAAAAAGTGTTTGCACAGCTATGACTAAGGCCTCTTTTGGCTGAAATGCATTAGCTGGTGTGATGCCTTCAATAAATAAAGAAGATATTTACTTGATCCAGGATCGTGTCCAAACACTTTTTTCTCATGTTCATGTACTGTAAGGATCAGTTGGTTGTGTTTTCCTCTCGGGCCAAAGATTCCTAGCCCTCTTCTTTTTCTTAGTCACTTTTGGAACTCTTGATTCATACAACGGGTTTGTGACTCAAAAATGGCTGTAGCAATTGTATTGTTGTAATATCCAAGATATTAGAATTTTGAAATGGAGAGATTAGCAAAGTCACCCTATGTTGACCTTGTTCACACATCTGTATGGAAATATAAAAAAGATTGAAAAGACTGCAGATTAACTATAAACAGTTCCATGTTTTTAATCCCTGTGTGACAAGGGTAAAGAAAAACATTTTGACCCTTGTGTATGAAAGATTCTGGTCAGAAAATCTACTACTACATCAGGCTTCTATTGATATTAGACACGAATGTCACACAACACTTTATTCATATTTGATTATCTGCCCGACTCCACCAGGGCAGCCCTTGATTGTTGCAGGAAACCATATCCAAAATGTGTGACAAAAATTCATAAATGTTCGAAAATGACTGTAGTGTGAAGCCATACCCAATCTGTTGATTGACGGTATTAGGTACCTCGGCTTATATTCGGGTCGGCTTATACTCGAGTATATACGGTAATTATGTTTATTACACTTACCTCCACATCCATCTGTGACATTTCAACCAGACTGCCTTTTATATGGTCAGAAGGCGTTATTTTCTGCACTGAGGAAAACTTGGCAGTCGCCTTAAAGGGTCAGAAACCAAACAAAATCATATTGCAGTCTTCACAATCCATTTGTATATTGTGTCATCTTTTTTTTTTAATACATTGAAATTAGATAAAAATACCTGACAACGATCTGTGGGCACGTTTATTCTCTTCATCGTTGCCACCGCTTGAGAGTATGTGCCAAAAAAATATTGTCTATGGCTTACTCTGCCTTGAATTTTTTCATGATCTGAATGAACCTGTTCTGCTGTGAGGAGCCATTTGCAATCAAACACTCTTACCCACCCCATCAGGCAATGCTGCTGATTACATAGGCTGGGAGTCTGGCTAGGAGTGTTTGACAGTTGCTCCTCCTGTCATTTCAATTTACAGGGCAGGCTGAACCCATCCACTACCCTAGCCATTCCGGTCATAGACAGGGCAATGCAGTCACAGAAGCGTGTAATAAAAGTATTTAGAAGACTTGTTGTAATATAATGCTTTTTAAATTTACTTGGAAAGAAAGTACATATGACTCCTTAGAGATATGCCTGGTTTACAAAACCATCCTGCTTGTACTACTCCAACTATAAATTGAGTATGGATTGTTTTACTTCTCTGCTAGGGAGATTTGCCCTTACATCCTGTTCCAGAGACACAGCAGAAAGTATGAGATGTAAAGTTAGTGGATAGCCCCTCTTATACAGTTGTCACACAAACAGGTGTCCCAACTTGGAGCTCATGTTCCTGTGACACCTCAAGAGTATTGGATTTGCCGTCCATGTCTGTATCGGAGACAACGGTCATCAGGATCAATACTGAAAGCCAATCAACCCAGCATGGACAGCAGGCACAGCAATAAGAACCTGTCAGAATTCAAGCCTTTCACATTCTATCCAAAATTGAATTAAAGTTTTGGCTTTTTTCTATGTGCTGCCTTGTGTAAGCTCTACAATGAACATCTTATTTCCCCAGCCCATTCTATCTGTTCACCTATGCTGTGACATATGTGGGACAATGGCGATGGCATACTAGTCACTGAATAATTATTGTGCCTCATTAACAACCAGTCTATTGTTGGTGTCAGGAGAGCATACTCTAACCTTGTTTCTTTCACAGTTATATTTTGATCACATCTGACTCCACTGCCTTGCACAAAGGAAAATACAAAATACTGTAGACTTTACGGTCTTTTCATATACAACTCTTGGCATTTAAAAATGTCATTAGCAGTTGTGAGTCATGCACAGTCCTGTATTTCAGGCACGTCTCTGTAATTATCTTATGGAAGGACATGGAGGATTAGCCTTCTGCTATGAGAGGTAATGGCAATGCTGATACATATTCTGTGCTATTTTAGCTAATTTCCCTCTTGAAATCATTTCCAGGGCTACTTTTCTATTGAGCTAGAACTGACAATATTGCACTGATAATACATTTTAATTTGCACCTCCATATTTTGATGATTGTATTTAAAGTAGAAGTTCACCCTAGAATGACGAATTCTAAATTACCGTATGAATATTAAACAGCCTAACAAATGTACCTTGATAAATGCATAGCACCATGTTTTAATGCTGTCTGCACTCTGGTTGTCAAGCAATCAGCTGTAGCTTCGGCCGATCCTTCGGCTAGCTTCGGTTACGGGAGTCCATCGGTTAATTCGAACCAAGAGCCTGCTGTACGGGCTATTCACAATAGCCCGTACAGCTCCCGATCATGGCCGAGCGGCTCAGC